TGTCACTAGTTTCGAGTATTAGAGAAGGATGTCCCGAAGACGACCTTATGAACTCGATACGGACACTACAAGTCCGTAGTGATACCCCTCGGATAGGACCAATACGTCCATAGCATTCATGAGCTTAATGGGTAGGGTACATCACTCTTACTTGGATCATTTCGTCATCCTCCTTGTAAATAACTTACTTATCTACCCTCGTAGTAAGAAGGAAATCATAAAGAGCACCTACAACAAACCATGGAAACAATACGATCAGAGAAGCGTTACACAAAGTTCTCTAAATATGAGTTTTGGGATTGAAGAGTCAAAATTTCCTAAGACACACTATTAGTGATGTGGAAATTCTTGAGGACCCTTGAAATTTATCAAAACCGTTGAGAATTTGTCAGCATCGAAGATGCCGTCAGGAATTCATCAAATTTTAGGTCTTGCAGACCTACTATCGTAGTCCATTCAGACCTCTTCGTGAATTTCAGAAACCCTTATGATGTTGACCCAGCAAGGGGTGGCCCCTGACTGGGAAGATAAGCAAGAAAAAGAAACCTTGGAATTCCAAGTGAGAGACCAAATTCTTTAGGAAGTCTCACTCGGGGAATGGCTTGATACGCTTCGGGAAAGAGTGGAGAGCTAAATCCAAGATAGTTAGGACCTCATAGATTCTTACCAGAATCGGTCCTGTATCTCACAAACTAAACCTACTCCACGAGCTTAGTAACGTACATTCTATCCTTCCCGTCTCGAACTTGTTAAAAGTATCGATCCGAAGAGACTCTTGAAATCCCACTCGAAGAGATCGAGTCCCACAAGAGCGTCACCTACGTGGAAGAACTGTAGTGACCATGTACCGAGAGGTCATACGAACACTTCATAGTCGTTTCCCTTTAGTAAAGGTCCGCTGGGATGCCAACCAAGGACCCGAATTCACTTGAGAGCGTGAGAATCAATCATTTAGGAAGTACCCCCACTCTTTGGCTTGATTATGCATGCCTACTTCCTTACCTAAATTCTAATTTCGCGACGAAATTCCTTCTAAGGAGGGGATGATGTGAGAACCCGAAATTTCTATTATGTACGAACATATCATGCCAATAGAAGTCAGAACAGTTGCTGTTAATCTTCAGACTTTTTAGAATAAGGACAAGTATTTTAGGATTTACACTTTAAGAGTTATCAGGAGAGAGGATGCCCTAGAGTATTTTGTGCATCTTAAAAGTTTCAAAACTCCACGATTTTGGAGTTTAAGGCTCGAATGATATTTTGACCAAAAACTTCATGGACTATATATATGACACATTAGCCATTTCTAGTCATTTGTTCCATTTTCGACTAGAGAAAAACCCGATTCTCTCCCAAGGATCTTCCATATTTCATCCTGGATTGTAAATACATCTACCCTAGAGTGTTTTAAAGCTTACTACATGTTTAGATATGTTATAAATCACTCAAAAATCACAAGAAGAAGGAGTTCACGGCCCAAGATGTTCTTGGACCGTAAACTCTATTTTGGGTGCCAAAGTGCCCCCAACTTTTCCCTTATGCTTAGAAACTAGTATGGAACCCTTCCCTTATGGTTTTAGCATAAGAAAACACCAAGATTAAAGGTGTTTAAGGTCCAAGAACACCTTTGGCCGTAAACCCTTCTTAAGGGGTCAAAAATGGCCCTAGTCCCTTCATTTGCTTAGGAAACTAGTCTAGATTTATTCCTTGATATGTATGGGACTTGAAAACATCATAAAACCATGTTCCATAGGAGTTTACGGCAGAAAACTCATGGAGAAATGGTCCATGGGCCATAAACTCCATTTAGAGGTGTTTTGATGCCACAAAGACTTCCATAGGCTTATACTTCAATATACAAATGCTTCAAGGGACTTACAAGACTTCAAAACAACTCATGGTCAAGAAGACTTGATTTTACGTCCGTAAACCCATGAGTTTACGACCGTAAATGCCATGGGTTATGGTCTTTAGGGAGTAAACTCACAAAGAGGGTTCCCTTGAACCCTAAAACTCAATAACCTTGTCCTACAACACTTAGATGTAATCCTTAGCACTTATAACACTTATATAAAGTGTTTAACATGTTTTAGGATGTCTTAACCTTGTTAGTTAATTGTTTAAAGGCTAATTGGTTACATATATGTGATATTATATGTTAAGTAGGACCATTGTGTGTGTTCAAGTCCTTACTTGACACCTACCACGTTGTCCGACACTTCCATCCAATCCGCTCACTACAGGTGAGTTCATACCCCTTAATCAACCTTTTTAAATGTTTTTTTAATGTTTTAAATGCTTTATGGGGGGGGGGGATACAAGTTGAAACATGCTAGTTATTAAATCAATCACATGTGATTAATATCTAGCATGCAAATAGATTTACTACACTTTTAGCGGTTTTACCAAACATATTACTTCAAATGACTTTCCAAAACATTTTTACTAGTTACAACTCTTTATCAAACTGTCTTACATACTGAATGTTTCTTTTCAAAACTCTGTTACAATTGTGTTTCCAAAACAAAGGATTCATTATACTTTAAACTGTTCTTATCAAATAAACTGTTTTCAAACTGTTTTACAAACTGACATCAAGTCACCTTTTCTTAGTTCTTAAACTCTTCAAAAGTTTTACAAAACTTATTTTATACTTTTATATTGTCAATTGCATGCCTAGATATGTATAGTTATATAAGTAATGTTTGAAGGACTTAGGAAGGCTAACCTGCCTTATTTCCTTTTCCCCGTTAGGATGTGGTCTGGTGGGGTATCGGGTATCCGTCCAAAGGTCGTTTAACTATTAGTTATATATCATGTGTACATAAATAGTCATAAAAGTTCTTCCAGTCAATTCAATACCCTTGGGTAGCGAGGGTATACTTCCATGTTCACATGTACAAGTTATATTACTAGTAATCTACAATAGGCGTAGTTTAGGATTTTACTAATACTAATACTAGAACAATGAATCATACAAAGAGTCAGTTCATGCATGAGTCAATACTTGCTAGATAGAGAGAACACAAAATACAGCTAGCACACACAGAACATTAAAATACTTGCTAGATGGAGAGAACACACAATACAACTAGTACCCACAATACATTACAATACTATACAGAGAGAACATACAGGCTAGAAAAGAGGGAGAACATACAATACAACTAGCATACATTACATTCAATTATGTAAGCTATTAAACGGATCATGGCACTACCTGCCATGACTGTTTTTGTATCCATAATCTCCTTAATTGGGGAGTGTATGAGTTTGCGTATAGATCTATACTACATTGACTATCCTACACCTTGCTGCTCGCTACAGTGGGACTTGCAAGTCTACAGGTGCCAAATGTCATTTCTTACGGCGTCTTATATTGTCGTTTTACTATTGAGTCGGTAGCAGGATACAGGCCGATCACATGTTACTTTAAATTTCGTTTGGTTTAAGGTAGTTAGTACAACAGTAGTCACTTATTATAAAACTACAATACTTTATTATTTCCCCATTACATTCACTTCGTGAACATTCACACGATGCACGGTAATGTAAATACTATATTTCTGGTTAATGATAGTTAGATTTGGGAAAATACACACTCTTACAAGAGACACAGTCAGATACTAGATGCCTTGGTAGAAGGCTACTTTCAGTAGGAAGCATAGGGTTTTCTAGGTTATTCAAAACTTTTACATACTCATTCTTACAAATACAGTCTTACAAATACATTCTTACAAATACAGTCTTACAAATACATTCTTACAAATACAATGTTACAAATACAGTGTTACAAATACATTATTACAAATACAAACACTAAAATACTTATGATATCACCAGTTTTAAAGTTGATACTCTTTTTCAAAGTAACTTGTATCCTCAGGTCAACAGTAGATAGTTACCGATGCAAGGCTTAGAGAAGATGGAGCTCGTTCAAGGCTCATCTTTTATTTTGATTCATACTTTAGTGTCTATTAAACATGTCAGAACACTTGTATTAAAATTATATTATTAATGCAATGGATGATGTTGTTGCTTGTTTACTACTATTCATTGTTGTGATACTGTACATGACATCCTCCGTCCCAGAACGTTTCCGCCGTTCCCGGTTTTGGGGTGTGACAGAGTCACATTTACAAATGAAAAAAGATAGACAAATTCATGTAATATTTATTTCAGTACAATTCTACTTTTAAAATTGTAGCTAGTCCTTAATGTCATTCATAACTTTGATATTTTTTAATTTAAATTATTATTATTTTGTCGGCGGCGTATAGAGAAAAACGGGAAGTGCTGGAAGCTGAATGTGTTAAATTTAAGGATGATAAAATATTTTATGATGTTGTTAGTGAGCATGACGAAAAAAGAAGACTTTATGGATTAGACTATTTTGCAAGAGCGGTTCCCAAGATTAATGGTAAAACAAATGTATGTTACATTTTCGAAAATAAATGATGAAATGGAAGAATTGAGGGAGCTTGTTGTTAAACAAAAAGAACAAAACGAAGAGCTTAAAAAAAACTATTGAAGACCCAAGAAGACCTATACAGCGCAAGAGTCGAGCAAGTTGATTAACAACATAAATTGGCAATGTATATTATTAATATTATTAGAGAACAACAAAACTAGTAGGGATTTTCAATGTAATAAATAATTATTGTATTATTTTATGATATAATGTTATTTGATTTTTTGTTATTTTTGTTTTCATATATTACTACAAAATAATTTGGATTTAATTTATAGATCGATTATCCATCCGTCCTTATGGAATCTTTGCTATGGAATCTGCTATATAATATATACCACATAAATTGATAGGGATTCATAACCACGTAATTTGCTAGGGAGTTATCACCACGGAAGTTGCTAGGGATTCATCGCCACCGAATTTGATAGGGATTCACCACCAATGAATTTGTTAGGTAATCACCACCATGTAATTTGCTAGAGATTCACCACTACATAATATGCTAGGGATTCACCGCCACTGAATTTGCTAGTGATTCACCAACACAAAATTTGCTATGGAATCCCCTCCACGGAATTTGCTAGGGATTCAGCACCATGAAATTTTCTAGGGAATCATCACCACGAAAGCTGCTAGGGATTCGCTACTACAGAATTTGCTAGGGATTCACAACCACAAATTTTGTGATGGAATCATACTACAGTATACACGACACAATACCATCTACAACGGATTTCATTTCGTTGTCACATTTGCGACATAATGATTGTTTCCTTTGCAAACCCTCGCTACGAGGTTTTTTGGGGACGGAAATCGGTCGTCGCAAATTTCATAGAAATCAACACAGGCGTAGTTCATTTGGGACAAAGGTGATACAAAAGTGCGGTACCCTTTAGCGGTGACGCATTGAGCGGCGGCACTAGACCATTAGCAAAGACTAGTTGGAGGGAAATGAACGTGTCATTTCTCTTGATTATTGGTTGTCGGATTATGTCAACATTTTAGGGCCAAGATTGCTCCTCAAGTGGATCACACGGATCGATATCAATAGTGACAATACTATCGCCGCCAAAGGTGTCGACGCTATTTCTTTCTACGAGAATAAACCCTTTCTGTTGCATCATGCTGCATGTTTCCTTCCAACAAATCACCAAAGCATACCTTTAGCGACATCATACAATTTTAGCGGCGACACACGACCTATCTGGTTTGATGTTGTCGCTAAAGGATTATTCGTCGCTAAAGTGTCGTACATAATGCAATGCTCTGCCTTCTTGTATGTATGTATGTATGTTACAATTCGTGGAGCGTGAGTAGTGTGATCATTGAGTCGGTAGGAAACATGCAACATAATGGGTAATAAAATGTTATATTAATGATGTTATTAAAAAAATCCAATGTATGTTAAGCTCAACACACATTACACCCAGATACATAGGGTTTACTTTATGATACCCTATATTAATCCATTAACAGTTCCACATATAATAATCCAAATGTTTTAGTAAACAATTATGAATATCCTAAATACTTCCCTATAAATCATGCCTATGTTGGTGTTATGTTGCCTACCTTTCAAACATTAAAACTCTTACTTGCTCCTCTCCTCTCTCACGACTATGAGAAAATATCGCCATCTCCTCAACCTCGGGAGAGCAAAAGGTCTTTTCATATCAAACAGGGCGCCATGGGCACAACAAGCTAGTCCCGTTAAATCACACCAGCTAAGCCGCTGTACACAACAACCACCCCCTCTTCCACCCTCTTCCTGTTCTCGTATATCAATAAACAAATGTAATGCAGGTAATATTGTTTCTCGCCATTATCTCCATGCAAGTCTAGGCAACCTTACTCGTATTCATTCCCATTTTCACTACTCCACTCTTGAGGCTTCACAACTTGATTACGAGGAGGAACAGTCATCAGTTGATTACCATGTGATCGTGAAGGATCGAGATGTCGTTTCAGCATCTATCACCCCAGCGTATAAGCACTGGCTCCCCCTATCCAACCTGGACCTCCTTCTACCACCGGTTGCCGCTGGTGTTTTCTTTTGTTACAAGAAAAAGGATGGCGTACCCATGTCGCCAGCAACTGTCGTAAAGACCTTTAGGACATCATTGGCCGAAGCTCTATCGACATTCTATCCTCTCGCGGGTGAGATTGTGCAAAACAATCAAGGGGAACCAGAGCTACTGTGCAACAATAGTGGAGTGGAATTTGTGCATGCCCAGGCTGACATTGAATTGAAAGACTTAGATTTTCATCGTCCTGACGATTCCGTTAAGGGGAAGCTAGTACCGAAGATAAATCGTGGCGTGTTGTCAGTTCAGGTAAACTACAACACTTAAAACTATTATTATTTAGTCAATTGCCATTTGCCACCCTTGGATTTGGAAAGCATATGTGCAAGTAGTAGCCGCGACTTTTGCTTGAATATTTTTTGAAAGATTCTCACGTATTTCCCACCCATGACTTGACTTTAACGAGAACAAAATAATACAATTACATGAAGAATATGCATGTAAATAAGGAAATGTTTCGGCACATAAGCATAAACAAAAGAAATTGATTTATGTAAACACTTTTACATGTATGATTGCATTAATTAACAGCTAGTTAAAAATATGTTGAATTTTCAGTTAATACGTTTAAAAAAAATAGTAGTTCTTTTAAAAGCTATAGAAAATTTTATATTTTGGATTTATTATTTTATATTTATTGATTTATTTATTTGCGACTTTTGCCCAATTATAAACTATTAATCTTTTTGTGTTTTATTTATTTATTAATCTAATGGCTCAAATGAAAATAGAAGTAGCTAGGGAAAATGATATGAGGTATGTCATTAATGCTTTTATAATTTATGTATGATCGTAGATTAACAAATATCGACAATAAGATTCATATGCAAAACGATAAGAGATGCCTTAAGACAAGAATTGAAAACATTTAAAAAAAAGTGAAAAACATATTAATAAATATTAAAAATCTATATTATGTTATTTATTTAAAAAAATAAAAATGTTTCGTTTTTATTATTTAAAAATTAAATAGTCAATTCAATATCCATTAAATAATAAAGTTAAATTTAATAAAATGCAAACAAATCATTGAAAATACTATGGTAGATTGACCACTTCTTTTTAATCCTTAAAATAAAATTTAAACAACTAATATCCTAATATATATTTTGCAATCTACAACTAATATCCTAATATATTTTTTGCCAAATCATTTTTTTTACAATAAATACAACTCTATTATTAATTTTTTTATAATGCATTGAACGTTACAAAATTTAATAGAATATTACAAAATATAATTTATAATAAATAATTAAGATATAACAAAGTTTTCTTTTTCTTTTTTTTTTTTTTTTTTTTTTTTTTTTTCATTTTGAGAATTAATGACTATTGAACTTTAAATCAATTAAATATCAAGATGACATCTCACAATATTAAAATTTCATCCATTGAATAACACATAAAATTAAATGTTTCAATAAAAAGTTTAAAATGTATTATTTAAAACCTTAATGTTATTAATTGTGATGGTCATTTATCTAATACATCTTGGTGAGACTTGGCAAAATTTTAATGACCATCTATATTAAAGTGACAAATAACAAAAAAAAAAAAAAAAATTAAAACTATTTTTTTATTAATATAAAAAGATATGATATATTTAACAATATATTGTGCATATTACAGAACATTTACTTTTTTTGTGAAATCCTTTAGGAAACAATTTTGCAATTCTAAAAATTACTGTGGAGCGGACCATAATTTTGTTTATTTGGAACGGCAATTTATCCATATTATAATTTGATATGGAACAGAAAATTTGAACCATGTGTAGAATTATGACTTTTTCGTGTCGTCGTGTCACGAGAAAAGATTATGCAACCACAAAACAAAAAATTGCAGATGATTAACACACAATTGTATCATACTTTGATGTAAAATTACCCCAATTTAAATGAAACAGGTGACGGAGTTAAACTGTGGATCAATAATAATATCATGCTCTATTGATCACCGAGTAGCAGATGGTCAGTCATTAAACATGTTCTTAGTTTCATGGGCGGAGATTGCACAAATGAAACAAATCACCAACATTCCATCTTTTCGCACATCGATCTTGAATCCACGAAAACCACCAACATATGACACACTCGTTGATAGTTTGTACTTGCCTATATCATTCCTCCCTCCACCACCTTCCTTCCAGGACACGCTTTATAGTCGCATGTATTATATTACTGCTGAATCAATCAATCGCATTCAGTCTCAAGCGTCTTCAATGGAAACAAGAAGAAGCAAACTCCAATCATTCACTGCATTCTTATGGAAATTATTAGCACATGGAGGTGATGATAATGTGAATACAAATTCCCGAATGGGAATTGTCGTTAATGGACGACAGTTTTTAAACGAAAATAATGAAAAGTCATCAGCTCACATGGAAAATCACTTCGGAAATGTACTATCTATCCCATATGGTAGCGCAAAGAATGAAGATCTCAAGACAATGCCACTTAATGAAGTTGCAGATGAGGTTCATAAGTTTGTGGCCAAAGCAACTAAAGAAGAGCATTTTAGGGGATTGATCGATTGGGTAGAGTTACATCGACCAGAGCCAGCTGTTGCTAAGATATATTTCGGATTAAAAGAAATCGAAGGTGAGGCTACAGTTGTATCATCTGGACAAGGTTTACCAATTAAGGATATGGACTTTGGATGGGGAAAGCCAGAGTTTGGATCGTATCATTTTCCTTGGGGTAGTCAAAGTGGATACCTAACTCCAATGCCGAGTGCAAAGAACAATGGAGACTGGGTCGTATACATGCATCTGAAGCAAAAAGATCTGGATTTGATTGAGAATATGGCACCCGGTGTGTTTACACCCTTAAACAATTCTCATTTGAGTTTCTAATTTGTGTTTCTCTGAACAAATATATGGTTTACAAATTCATATATATTGGAGTTATTATTTTACATGTCGATTTCTTTTGTAATTTATCTCTTTGTAAATGTATGGTCTTAAAGTTTGGTGTACGCTAGATTGGTTATTTCTTTGACTTTTTCTTTAATCGATGACATATTTAGATACGAGTTATATCTTAGCAACTTTAACAATGGACTAACAATATTAGTGATAGTTTTAAGATCGCTATTTAGACAAATAGTTGGAAATAGAGGTGTTTATGACCAAGTTTTCAACACAAAAGCAACAAATAATGTGACCAAAGGATCTGTTGCCTTTGCTAAGTAGTCCTTCTATGTTCGTTTAACGAAAGGGAGTTGATTTTGCCAGGAATTGAGAATAATGCCCCCATTTTAATTTAGAGAAATTTCTTGTATTTGTTTGCAAATGACGCTCCTTTGTTTTTCCTTCTTCCTTTTTCAATTTTTCTAATTTCATTGACACTCCTTCGGTATTTGTTCTTCCTTGTTCAAATTTTCAGATTTTCGCATTAAATAGAGTATCACGATCACAAAAAATCAGGTGCGATTTCGCTCAAATTGGTAAAACAAAACCATCTCCAAATTTTTGCTTGAACCGACAAATATAATCTATTCCTAAGCTAATACCTAATTTCATCAATGTTCACGATGGAAGCTCTTTGGTAGAAATCGACTCCAAATCGAGTTCTATAAAGCAGATATACACTCAGTTATATATACCACATCTTCTTTCAATCGATTAAACCATGGATTGAATTGATTAACCTGCATCGACGGTGTGAAATCATTTCTACTTTAATCAAAGCTCAATCAACCATGAGGTTGGTTTTTTGTGATGTGTGATTTAAATTATATGTTTTTTTTTAGGTTTGTGATTTCTTCATTTGTTTTCCCCTCATGTGCTTTCATCCACAATGTATGTTTTCTTTCTTTTACATGGTTATATTTCTCCTGTTTTTTGTTCTATTGGATTTAAAAAAGGATAAAAGAAACTAATTGTTCTTTTCGTGTGTTCGTTATGTTAAATGAATCACTAGGATACTAGAATGGAGCATATTAATGATTTGGTGGTTCAAATGGGTTCCTTTGAAAAGTAATAGTTTTGCCGTAGGATATGTACCTTTGTAACGTCCTAAAAATCATAATAAAAATTTTCATTTTTATAAAACAATTTCACAAAATAATAAGGTGATCAACCATTGTTTTCAAATCAAATCCATAAAATCAACATATCAAATAATATCTCAAAACATAAATCAACAAGAGGATGTGTCTGATCATGCTTTCGCCTTGCGTTAACTATTTGATGTACCTGAAAACATTGAAAGATCGAAAGGGAAGAGCCCATGGTGATTGTAGAGCACACACCACATTTTTCCGCATTTTGAGCTTTATTATGATATTATTGATGTACTGACTGTTGGATTAGTGTTTAAGCCCGTAACCATATTTGGTAAGTACTTGACCGGATTGTGCATGGTCCTTTTGGGTCGCCTTCACCAAAGCAGCTTGACTGGAGAAATAATAGAGAAAGAGATTATTATGGTTTATTAATATGTTATAAGAATAATATATTAAAGAAGAAATCATATTTGTTTAATTAATATTGGTCAATAATTAATTAAGAATTAATTTTGTGATCAAATGTAATTAATTAAACTAGAGGGGTTGAATTGTAATTATGTGATAGTTACAAAATAGGGTAATGGTTATCCTAGATATAGGGTGGACGAATTCAAGGGATTAGATATCCTTGAAATCGTCCAAAGGATAAAGGATAAGGGTTTTCAAGGCTTATCTTATGATTGCTTGGTAGGCAAGCAACTAGATAAGGATAAGGATTGAAACCCTAATCTCTACACCTATATAAAGACCCCTAAGGCCATAAGAATTCGTCCATGCCTTCCTAAAGGGTTCTTAGGGCCGATTTCATACCTCCTCCCTCTCTCTCTTGTCTCTCCATTTGCTCTTGGTGTTTGTGAGTCATTAGAGGTACTACACTTGTGGTACTTGCTTTCAAGACTTAGGGTTTGAAGATTTGAGTTTTTATTGCAATATAACAACAAAAGGTATGTAATCTAATCTACTATATGAATTTCGAAAATACTAGGGCATACTAGGGTTCCTTTATGTGTTCATAATGTTGTGTATGTAATAGTGAAAACATAGATCCAATACTAGGGTTGCATGCACACATATGAGTGTTTGTACAAAACCCATCAGTGGTATCAGAGCCTTTTATAACTTGTTTTCAATTAGTATTATATACTTGTATGAACTTGACATATTAGGGTTTGTAGCCAATAAACCCTAAGAGGCAAGAAAATTTCGAGATTAGGGTTTCCTAACCCTAATTAGCAAACATTTGAAAGGGTTTTCAAATCCTTTCCTTAAGCCTCAAGATTTCGAAATCTAGGGTTTGCAAACCCTTGGATTTTCGAGATTAGCCTCCTCCCGAAGATAAGATCCTAAATTTTAGGGATTTGGATTTTCCTATATCTTGTAATTATCCTTTAATGGTTATATATGGTAATTAAAGATTTTGAATTATCCTATCCCATGATTTTTGAAATTTAGATGGATTAAAAGGATTAGGATAAATTAATTGTTTAATTGGTAATTATCCTTTATGATTTAGATAATCCCTTATGATTTAATAATTTAAATTAATATTTTAATTCAAGATAATTATTAAATCAAGAGTTTTAATATTTAAAATTTTAATTTAAATAGTCTTAAATTCGAAAATTTTAAAGTGAGATTAAAACCTAATTATTTTGAAAAGTTTCAAAACATGCCCTCAAGTTTTTGAATTTAAATTGTTTAATTTTGAAAGTCTAAATTCTAAAACCCTAATTTTGAAAAGTTCAAATTACACCCTTATGGTTTATTAAATTAATTAAGTGTATAATTAAAAGAGAGTTAATAAATCCATAATGATATGATTTATATTTTAAAAGTGTAATTTATAAAATTTAAATCACCCAGTATTTTAAAAGTGTAAAATACACCCTTATACTGTGTATAACATTAAAAGTCTAATATTGTATATGTATAACTAAAATGCTAGTTTTACCGTTAGTAGACCTCATTCACGAAGCCGATCTATAAGGGGGGTATAAGGTTATGACCTATAAAATGGTCGTTTAATGGGTATCCACTCTTACCCACCGTTTCCTTGATTGGTGGAGGGTCGTTAGCCGAACGGGTAGGATAGGGCAATCCTCTCTTTATTAATAAATATAATGAATCTATGTAAAGTAACTAAACGCTTTTGCAAATTCCCAATCCTAGTTACTTTAGGCAAAAGTGAAATTGATGCAATCCCATGAAATTGCACTTTGCACCCTTGTTAATAAGTTAGTGGAGCGTGTGGTTAACCGACACACTAATTGGTTCTAAGCAAAGGTGGCAAAGGGTGACTCATTGTTTGTCATAGTTCGTTGGAGCGTGTGTGGTTTACCGGCACAACGAATAGGTGACTGTAACAATGAGGGCACCATGTAGATTTGCATCGTTATTCACACCCACTTTGTGATCCTCGACATCCCAGTCACAAACGAGAGGGGCATATCGAGATTTAAACATACCATTGAAAATTTCAATGAATCTTAAAGGAAATCTAGGAATTCTTAATACATTTAAAACTTAAGCCTTTATGTTTTTTTCATGGTGAAGAATTAGTGAATCCTCATTCACTTACCTCCAAATTATTTGCATGTTGGATTATGGCATCCCTATTCTAATGTGTAAATAATGTTGTTGGATCCTAGCCTTAATGTCTCATTTGGGTGTTTCATTAAGGATTCAATCAACTAACTTGAAATTTCTCCCGTTTTGTAGATGTATGACTCTAACCGTGGTCTTCCCGAATCCCAAGGAAAAGGTGTTCCTGTTGAAAGTAAAAGCTTGTTCCAAAGTGAAGGATCAATGTGGACTAGCTTGATTTCACTCCCTCCTCCTCCTCCCATTGTTCTCCCCGACCCACAAGATCGAAGATTTGAAAGATTCAAGATCATTGAAACCCTATTGGCAATGGAACATAAAGATGGTAAACCCATGTGTGCTCACTTCCTAGGGATGAAATCACACATTGATAGGTTGATTATGTTGGGCGCGTCTTTTCCCAATAAGTTGGCTATGGACTGGGTTCTTCAGTCACTCCCTAAATCATATGATAAGTTCAAAAGAGAGTATTAGATGATGGATCTTGACGCAACCCTCATTGACTTAACTTACATGCTTATTGCTACTGAATCAGAAATGATTTGGAGAAGTAATGGAGCATATTTGTCTGGTAATTCAACCAACCATGCTTTCGTGGACATTCTAGAAGAACCCACCTGTTTCTACTGCCAAGAGAAGGGGCAATGGATACGAAGCTTCCCAGAGGACCTGAAGAGTCTAAGAGATAAGAGAGTCAAGAAGTATGGCTCTACTTCAGGTATAAAATCCACTATCTAACTCCATTAAATTCATATTCTTTATACATAATGTGATAAGATTACATTTGCATGTTTTGCAGGATTAGAGAAAAGAGAGGAAGTTTGATGGAAGAGCAAGATGAGTCTGATCACGAAGAAATGGATTACGATCGCATGGATTCAAAGATCAGATTTTGAGCTTAGGAAGTTATGATAAATTTTTTAGGCATATTTGATTACATAGTTTTTCATTCGAATTTTGCATTGTAAGGACTTGTTTTCCACTGCTTTTATAAATAAAAGGAATTTTGGTTATTTGTTTATCTTTACAATGGCGCATATGAAAAATTAATGTTTGTGTACTTCTATTATTAGCAAAATGGATTTGATTCTTAATTAGGTTATTTGTGGAAGTGTCAAGAGTTTACCAAATAGGGAGAGTTTCTAATCGCCCAAGTTTCAAGTAGATAGGAACTTGGAATCGTGCAACAAGTATTGCATGATGAATGAAAACTTTCACATTTGGGAAATTTAGACTAATTTATGACAAAGTGTCAATTTAAGGACTAAGAGATTAAGTACACTAGGCCATACGTTGATCAAGTCTACCACAAGAGTAACAAAGATATTCGTCATGATTTACTAAAGTTTAGTGAATATGGTTATAATTATAAAACTGAGTATAATTCTGGGTTGATTAAAAGAGTTT